ACAATAACGAGTCAATTTCTTTCAGCATGTAAAACATATTTTTATAAAAGTCATCATCAGTAAGGCTATACAGTCATCCAAAAAGATAATATATGTACAACATCATGAAAGTATCAAAATAAGACACCCTAGGTGCTGGTCAAGCTCTAAGCCTAGCCACTTCTCAAAGCAGCTACCAAAAGACTCATTGCTATCCCAAAGCCTCACACCTGATCTGCTCCCCCACATAGTGAGATTATCACAGTCCACATCATGGAAATATAAGGGTTAGCACATATAAAACTAACCATAGTACAACATAATGAAATATCATTAAACTAGATATTCATCAACAGTATGTATCCATACCAAGGGAATGACAACAATATAACAAGTCATTTCCATGCCAAATATAAACCAATCAAAAGTCCAATGTATACACATCCATGCCAATGCATACATATTGTATGATAATAAAGAATCCATAACCAATGTATACAATCCATACCAAATGCATACATATTCCACATCCAAACCAAAGTCACACCACTATATAATCCCATGAAGTAGCCAACACATCCAAACCAAATGTTGACCTCAACACATCCAAACCAAGTGTTGAATTTGTGAACATGTCACCTGCCCATGTCACACACCTAACCTCGCATGGGAAATATACAGTTGGGTTACGTCGTCACGTAACCCTGGTGATCGTGGCCACTTCATCCATCGGTATGACTCGGCCTTGCCCCCATATCGGTAGCAAATAGAATACTTAGAGGAGTACTTTAGAATCTACCTAACATCTGAAGTGGTTTATTATATAATCTTTGGAAAAGTTCCATATTGGAATCCTCACCGTGGGACTCCCAAATTCCATATTTTTCCAAAGATTATATCCAAATCTCACTAAGAGATCTCCCAATCCATACCATAACTTTACTCCTCTAAGTCCTATTAGCTTTCTAAACCAAATACACATAGCATATTCCATAATTACATACAAAATTTTCCATAACCATGCCAAATTACTAAATATAACAACATAAATAATTAAACACCCAAAACAACTATCAACTTAACCAAATTACCCTTTGTGAAATGACAATCTTCACATAAAATAGCATATTAAGAGTTATACTACTTCTATCATGCTCATACTTATCTCATATAAAAGATAAGAAGATTTCCTACAACTCTTATGAAGACATAAAGTCCTAATTCCATCATCTACTTTGTTAAAAATTCTAAAAACCGCAACAGCTATAAGCAATGATGGCAGCTTGACCCCTGTTCACTAAAACAGTCATATCTGGAGTTCTAGACCTCGTTTTTGGGTGATTCCAACGCCATTTGAAAGATAACATCCAAGGATAAAACTTTCATGAATACCTCAAGACCAACATACACACACCCGGCGCAATAATATCTCGCCCGGCGCAAAACTCAAATAGAGACCTACAGAGGTCATTGCGCTCAGCGCAATTATGCTATGCCCGGCGCAATAACAGTAACCAAATTGCGCTTGGCGTGAATAAAATTGAGCCCGGCGTGATTTGGCAATGATGGTCTTTGATGAATTCACGCCCGGAGCCAAGAACTGCGCCCGGCGCATTCTGCAACCAGAAACCCTCGAAAACCTTGAAAATTCCTTCCAATCATGAATCCATTCCAAATTCCATGACTGTCTCATCATAATCAATTCCCTCTTCTTCATTATACCCTTTAGCAACTAATCTTGCTTTATTTCTTATAATGATTACAGATTCATCAAGCTTGTTCTTAAATACCCTTTTAATTCCAATTATAGGATGATCACTTGGTAATGGCACTAAGTCCCAAACTTCAATCCTTATGAATTGATTTAATTCTTTATGCACAGCCATTAGCCAATGTTCATCATGTAATGCTTCATTTATTGTTTTGGGTTCAACTTGTGAAACAAAAGTTAGTGTGTTACATATGTTCTTCATAGATCTTCTAGTAGTTACTCCTTTACCAATTTCACCAATTATATTATTAATTGATAAATCCTTAGAAGTTCTCCATTACTTAGGCAGTTGTTCACTTGTTTTTTCAATGGTTTCTTTTGATTCACTCTCTTTAGGCATCTCACTTTGTTCATTTTATAAGGGAGGTTGATCAAATAATTCAGATATATCTTCTAATTCAGTCTGCTTTGTTTCTTGCTGATTAGTTTCATCAAAAACTACATGTACAGATTCTTCAACTACTAAGGTTCTCTTATTAAACACTCTATAAGCTTTGCTATTTGTAGAGTAACCCAGGAAATATGCTTCATCAGCTTTAATATCAAATTTACCAAGTTATTTCTTACCATTATTCAGCACAAAGCATTTACAACCAAATACTTTGATATATATATATATAGACAGTACAAAAAATTACATGAAATTTTAATTGGTTACATCTAACCCTAACAAAATGGACTTAACTCCTCGTTGTCATGAAGAGCACAAAAAGAAAATAAGATGAATCATGGAAGATGGAGAGTCAAGGAGTAGATCTAAGGTTTTCATGTAAGCCTTAGCAACACCTAAAGGTCCCAATATTCATCCAAAGTGTGTCCAAGTCAAAGAATGCCACCAATCCCTCAAAGAGAAAGGGAAAAAGTGAGCCAAAATTTTCATATCATAAAAATGGCACCTAACGTAGACTAAACCATGTCGGGCATGAACATCAGAACATAAAAGAAACTCTCTACTAAGGTGGTGTTAGGTGTAGTTAATGCAGCACCCGACACTAAAGTGTAATTGTCGCTATACCAAAACCATGTCAAGCATGGGTAGTGGCATTCGACATTGGAGAGAATATTGCTCTTTGCCAAATTGATGTCAGGTGCGGGTAGAGTGGCGCCCATTGCTAATGCTCTTTAAGGAAAGGCTTTCAAAAACTCTTTATTCCTCACTTCTATGTATCCTTTCTCTCTTGGCTTGCTCTCATTTTACTTTCTGGTCAATTGTTAGACAACAAATACAGATTAGTGGTATAATTAGAAGACAATAACAAACATCAAATTAATTACAAAAAATATCCAAAGGAAGCTAGTTAAAAGTTAGGAAAAAGTTTATTTCGTTAATATAGAAATGCCATCAACTATGACTAATCATCTACAATTTAATTCACCACAACAACAATAAATTGTTTTGTATGGTGTATTAGATACGAGGATTTGTTAAGCTAGATGAAGAACTCCCCAGCAAGGTTTTGAACATGACAAATATAATACATTTTGTTATTTAACATGTGTGTTAGTGTTTCAGATAAATATAAGAACAGGCAGAACAAAAAAAATGAAGTATGTGTCACTACATATATTGTGGTCAAACCAAATGAAGCCTGGTCAAGCTATACAAAACATCAGACGAATTGATTAAGCACCAAGACTAAGCTTGACAAAAGCTAGATGAAAATACAACAAATACAAGACAAGGCGCACTACCAGTCAAAGATCAACAAAAAGTATTAGACGATGGATAACATAAGACGAAGAAACATTCTAGACAGAATTAGAGCGAGTCTTCTATCTTCACAACAAACCAGACGAAAGAAAAAGTCAAACCAAACAGAAGAAAAAGTCAAAGTCTACCTCTCAGACGGAGACTCAAATTCCAAACGCAAACGAAGAATATTGAAAAGCGTCTGAAGTCCACTATTCACAATAAGAGATATCAAATATCACCTACACTCATAGAAGAACACACGAAGTCATCAAAATTGTGAAAAGAAAGAAGAAAAATAGACAAACGCGAATCCACAAGTCAAAGTTGCAAGTGTCAGAGACAGTACACCTACTTTTCAGAAAAAGACAACGACTCTGCAACTACAATGACGAAAAGAGAACAGAAATACCTAGGTTATGATTGAAGTCAGTCATAAAAGTAAACAAACTATGCAAAAGACTTCACGTTACACAGATTCGGCAAGCAAACATTTAATGTAAGATCAAATGCATTAAGTGAAAGATCTAAATAGCCATGAATGAACTACTATCTGCACCAACGGGAAGAGAAGAAGAAGAAGAAGAGAAGCAACGAGCAATAAGCAAAAATGAATGCAAAAGCCAACCTACATCTCTTCCTGCACAGTCTTGTATATCTGTATATATCTAAGATAACTTATCTTAGTGAGTGTTGAGACTATCCTATCCTCTCTGTGAGATTAATACACGCACTCAAAAAACATATCTTTGTAAAACTAAGGTTGAATACCTTAGCGAGTGTAGAAACCATCATATCTTCTCTGTGAGAGTTATACACACACTCAAACCATCTATCTATTGTAAAGCCTGAAGAGGCTAGTTGAAAGAATACTTGGAGAACTAGGAGTGGTTGATAATACTCGGGGAACCAGAAGTGGTTTAAGAATACTAGTGTTGACAAGTGAAGTTGACAAACCAGGAGTGGTTGATAATACTTGTAATCCATTGTGATTAGTGGAACCTTTCAGTTGAAGGAGACTAGACGTAACTCAAGTCAAGTGAACCAGTATAAAATTCTTTGCATTGTCTATCTATTTTTCAGACGCAATTTTATTTAACTATTATATCATATTGAAAATTTCGTCCACTACTTATTTTTCACTACAACTATCTTCAGACGGAAAATTACACTTTCTTGACTTATTATTTTAAGAAACATTTTCTCTGAGCGGACGATAAACCTTCAGACGCAAAATCTTTTATTGAGACAACCTTGCACAGTTTCTAAGTGTTCGAAATAATATTTCTAGCTATCAGACGAAAAGAAGTCTTTTTGCGAAAACGGTTTTCAAAATCCTTCGTTCACACACACATTCAACCCCCTTCTGTGTGTTTTTCCCCTAACTTCAGGATTAACCCTTCCAGTATGGGGCTTAGAAGGACAAATAAGTTCCCTTGTTTCAATGCCTGAAACATATCACCCCTCATTCTATTTCATAGTAGGTTTCCTATATATTAATTTATCCCTACACTAGTACAGAATATACATTTTACGTCGGTCATTTTAGGACTTTTTACGTCAGAACAGGAAATATGGAAGAAATTTGTGCCATAACTTTACACATCATGTTTCAATTTTTCTATCAAGAACCAAGTTCTTTCACCCTTATTTTGAAGAAGCATGAAAGAATCACGTTCTGCTAAGTGTGTGTTTGGTTTCACGGTGAAAGTATCAAAATTGATTTTGTTTCCTGTCAAACGTGATTTAGTAACATCGAATGTGGGGAAAAACAAACTCACACACACAAATGAAAATAAGGCTTTAAGGCTTTGCATCAAACATCATCAGTGTTAAACCTCAAAGTGTTCTAGCATCAACAATTTCCCCCACACACAACTTCATTTTACTCAAGGACTGTGTAACACGGAAGTTATAGAATTCTTTACCTTGAATTCTCACTCCACTAGGTAGCTTCAAAGTCCTAGATGCTTCGCATAAAAAACAGTAAATCACAAATCACAATACACCATCATTTCTCACTTCATCACACCAATAAGATTAGGTAATAAAATTAAAGAAAAACAAAGTAAAACCGTATGACTTCAGGATCCTTCATGTCTGGCATAATTGGTGCAGCCAAAGCAGGAGAAGCATAACATATCATGTGATTAACACCCAGAAATTGAAGAATCGCCCTTCTAGAAATCTTTTTCACTCTTAATGTGGAGACTCTGTTATTCTCGGTATAGTTGAGTTTTGCATCTTCCATGCACCTGGATTTATCCAAGGTTTGAAGCACATCGTCAAGAGAAATGCTTTTCAAGAACCATGAAAAGTTTATGCATTAGAAGAATCCATTTTTAATTGAAACATAACTCTACTTAGTTTTCAGAAAAAACTATAACATTTTTTTAATCATATCATTGGTACAAAATATCCATAATGTGGATGACTAATTGAGAAACCTTACTTTTAATACTAACCTTACTTAAGGGATCTGATCCATAATGTTGGTCGAAAACTACATCAAATTTTGGTTTAAATCACATGCATCTTCCACTATGGGTCTGAGTATTTAACGTAGCTACATACTGAAGACTCAAATTCAATATCATTAAGATAGAACAACTCATATCAGTTGATTTACGCATTCAGTGATGAAACTGTAGCATATAATAAAACTACAGAAATTCTATACATTAATTTATGCTACCGATATTGGCCAACTTTTTGAGAGAGAATATAACTGAATTTTCACAGCTATATAAAGCAGGATAAATTGTTAAGAAAAATAAATTAGAGGGGAACTTACATATACCTTAGAGATGCAGGTATAGAAGCAGCAGAAGGAGGTGGAAGCAAGAGAAATGGTAAAACTCCCAATCCCATGTTGAATTTGGAACTTTTGAGAATTCGAATTGAGATGTTTTGGTCACTGAAAGATTACCAGCCAACTAAACACGTTATCTCTATGACTCTATCCAAAAGTATGGACCCACGTGGCCCCATACATCAGTTGTTGCTTTCAACTTCAATATTTTTCACTAATTGGTCCACGAGTGATAAAAGAATTTTTTTTAAGCTTAATTATATTTTTGTTCCTCAAATTTCAATAAGTGAAATAGATTTTTAAGTATTATAATTTTACAATTTTAATATTAATAATATTATTAGAAGAAGGTTAATTAAAAATACATTATATAGTCCTTTTAAAGATATCCAATAAAATTATAAATATATAGTATAAATATAAATTTTAGTAACTATAATATGCAAATCAGATACTCAATAACCTCCAAAGAATAGTTTTACTTGTTCCTTCGTAGTCATAAAAAAAATTTCTAATGTCTTGTGGAAACATTGTGTTTCATTGTGCCATAAATCTTGTTTCTCTATCGTCACTGTGGACATTGTTACACCAGCATAGTGAAAAACAAGAGTGATGAATGTAGGAAGTGTGAACTGTTTCGTGATTTGGCCTCACTAAAGATATTATACGTTGGATGTTTAAATAGAAAAGTTTTGTTTTTTTGTATTTACGTAATCCTTGCTGTGTCACTTATTATGACAAGTCATAACCCGTCATTAAATAACTAGAAGCTTGGAAGGAAGTTATTGTTGATGGAAATTATGGAATGAAAATAGGATAGCATCATGAGAGATTTCATAATTAGGTTGTTTAGGTCTGTCAGGAACAGTGATATTATTTATATGGATGATTGTTCATAGGTTAACTAAATGTATGCATTTAGTTCCAAATTCCAATCAACAAGAACTAATTTTTGAAAAGGCTCACACAATTGTATATCAAGAAGATAGTACAGTTGCATGGAGTGCCTTCTAATATTATCTTTGATAGGGATCTAAAGTTTACTTTTTGGTTCTAGTAGAGTTTGCACCAAGTTATGGGGAACGAGCTTGAGGTTTCCGCCAATCACCCACAAATGGATGGACAATCAGAGAGAACAATTCAGTCATTGGAGTATTTTCTAAAAGCATGTGTTTTGGATCATCTTGGTAGTCGGGAGGAGGTGTTACCTCTAGTGATGTTCACTTATAACAACAACTTCCATGTTAGCATTAGCATGACACCTTTTGAGGCACTATATGGGAGAAGATGTAAGATTCCTATGTACTAGTACAAGGAGGGAGAATCAATTGTTGTGGGGTCGGAACTAGTTATGCAAACTACATAAAAGGTGAAGATGATTCAGGAGAGGATGAGGACTATCTAGAGTAGGCAAAAATCCTATGCTGACAAGAGGAGGAAGCATCTAGAGTTTAATGAGGGAGAACATGTTTTCTTGAAGATGACATCCATTACTAGAATGGGAAGGACGATAAGGTATAAGAAGTTGATGCCGAGATTCATTGGGCCTTATCAAATCCTTCGTTGTGTAGGTCTAGTGGCTTATAAGTTGGTGTTGCCACCATTTCTTTCCAACTTACATGATGTGTTTCATGTCTCTTAGTTGAGGAAGTATGTCCATAACCAGAGTCATATGGTGGAGATGGATGAGGTGTAGGTTAGAGATAACCTAGCCTATGAGTAGAGGTCAATTGTTGTGGTTGATCATAAGTTGAAGGAGTTGAAAGATAAGTTCATCGACTTAGTGAAGGTTTTGTGGGATGTTACTACTGTTGAGGTGATCTGAGAAGTTGAGGAGTAATTTAGAGATTAATACCCATTCCTTTTATTAAGTAATTCTATTTTTTTTGGATGAAAATTACTGTTGATAAAGAGAATTGTAACATTGTAAGTTTTGTTAATTATTGTATTTTTACCCATAATTATTTGTTATGGTGTTCTAAGAAAAGGTGTTGAGAGATTGTGAGTATTAAGGAACTTTTGAAGAGTCTTTAGGTGTTTTAAAAGGTTTCTCTGAAAAAAAATATCCAGTTTGACCTTGAGGAAAAAAGTATATAAGGTTTCTTTTTATACTTGAGCCTCATAAGCTCATTTCTCGAAGAACCTAGATAGATATTAGAGAGAGAAGCTTTGGAGTTTTGACTTTCGCTTCTTCTACTTTATAGATTTCCCGAGAGGCAATAGATTTTTCATGGTGCTTGGGTGTTGATCAGAGGCTTTTAGTTGAAGATCATTTTATTGTGGTGTGACGCTTCCCAAAGCTCAAAGTTCGTTCTTCCTCCTTTGTCCTCTTCTTCTCAAATTTTGAGATTTCTAAAGTTAAAGGAAGTTAGAATCGATTACATGTTGAATTGTTGAGTGGTTAAGCATGAATTGGGTGTTGATTGGGTGCAATGGTATTGTTAATTTGCATGAATTCTTTTGATGAAAGTTGAACTTGGTCATTTTTGGTTTTCAAGGGAAGGATATGGTGATCTTCAACAAATTGTTGTTGCATGTGTTGTTTCTGGCTAGAAATGAGTGATTCACGAATTGTACATGTGAATTATATTGTTTTATTCTTGGTTGTCTGATGATTTGGTGGCTTTAAGCCAAATTTTGCGTCTACTATGTGTAAAACTTATTGTCTCACCAAGCATGCCTTCATGGCGCCAAATGTAACGACCCACCCTAGGCCGTCACATCCAGAACCAACCAAAATAAAATAATATATAATAAAGAAAATAGAGTAAGGGCCAGCTACGCTAGAGTGTAAATATACAATAACATATAAATTTTTTTCATCATATAAAACATAATTTTATAAAAGAGTCATCATTCGTAAGGTTATACAATCCAAAAAGATAATAATATACAACGTCATGAAGACATCAAAATAAGACACCCTAGGTGCTGGTCAAGCTCTAAGCCTAGCCACTTCTCAAAGCAGCTACCAAAAGACTCCTTGTCATCCCAAAGCCTCACACCTAATCTGCTCCCCCACATAGTGAGATCATCACAGTCCACATCATGGAAATATAAGGGTTAGCACGTATAAAACCAACCATAGTACAATAAAATGAAATAGCATTAACTAGATACTCATAAACAGTATGTATCCATACCAAGGGAATGACAACATTATAACAAGTCATTTCCATGCCAAAAATAAACCAATCCAAAATCCAATGTATGCACATCCATGCCAATGCATACATATTCTATGATAATAAAGAATCCATAATCAATGTATACAATCCATACCATATGTATACATATTCCATATGCAAAACAAAGTCACACCACTGTATAATCCATGATGTAACCAACACATCCAAACCAAATGTTGGCCTCAACACATCCAAACCAAGTGTTGATTCGGTGAAACATGTCATCAACCCATGTCACACACCTAACCTCTCATGGAAAATATACAGTTGGATTACGTCGTCACGTAACCCTGGTGATCGTGGCCACTTCATCCATCGGTATTACTCGGTCTTGCCCCCATACCGGTAGCAAATAGAATACTTAGAGGAGTACTTCAGAATCCACCTAACATCTGAAGTGGTTTATTATACAATCTTTGGAAAAGTTCCATATTGGGATCCTCACCATGGGACCCCCAAATTCCATATTTTCCCAAAGATTATATCCAGACCTCACCAAGAGATCTCCCAATCCATACCATAACCTTACTCCTCTAAGTTCTATTAGCTTTCCAAACCAAACACACACATACATGCAATCTTTTCCAAAACCATGCCACATTCCATACCAAATATATAACATCAAAGATGATATGATTCAACATTTAAAAGTTTCATAAAAACTCAATTATAAAAGGTTTTCCTCAAAGCAACCATGTGCCCAGCGCAGTGGTATTTGCGCCCAGCGCAACTACAATTGGGAGCCCATCAGGCTTTGCCCGCTCAACGCGTCACCACGTGCGCTCAGCCCATGACTATATGCGCTCAGCGCGTAGACTCGTGCGCTCAGCGCGCTTGAGATAGAGAGCCACTGGAAACAGTCCGCTCAGCGCGTAGACTCGTGCGCTCAGCGTGCATCCTGACAACAATTTTGTTCTTTAGTGTGCTCAGCGCGTCGTTGCGTGCGCTCAGCGTGCATGCATCAGACAGCGCTTCAGAAGTTCGAAAACCTCAATTTTTACCCCCAAAATCCATCCCAAATGAATCCCAAACCAAATTTATACAATTACGAACCATTATAGAGTATAAACACCATCCAAAAGCAACATATTAAGTGTTAAAAACAAGTATTAACCATTAATCCATGAAAATCATAGGAAATCATGAAGAACCCTAACCAAACCGTCTCCATCTCAATCCAGCCTCAATCATGCGTAAAACATGGAATCAATGTGATATTTCAACTCCATACATACTAGATTAAGTCTTATAAGTACTACCCTTACCTCAGAAACTTTAGAAATGCAAGATTTGAACAAAACCCTCAAATTCCCAATTCAAACTTCAATCTCACTTTTCAAGGCTTTAGAGGGCAAATATCTTAAAACTCCAGTTATGAAGATTGATCCTGGCTTGATAAGTTTCCCAAATGTGTCCTCAGCTTTCCTCCGGACTAGAGCTTCTCTCTCTACTTTCTCTCTCTAGAAATTGTCTCTGTCTGACAAATGAGACCCTCCAGTCCTAAGTCCCTATATATAGCCATTTTCCAAAATTTTCAAATTTCACCCCTAGCACCTATTCACCTCAAATATTCTATTCCTTGAAGTATTTCAACTCTCTAAGTTCTAAAACAACCTCAAATTCACTCAGAAAGATCGGATTTATCTTATATTCCTATCCTTTAATCTCCTATCCATCCTATTCTTTTCCATGCAATACTCACAACTCACCACCATATGAAATGCAACATGTATAAAACACAAACAAACATCACTTTCATATACATATGCTTGGAGCAGGTGCCTGGAACAAAACAAAAAATTAATAAAAATAAGTAAAAATTAAAAGCATACTAGTGTCAACATTTATCAAGTATATTCAATTTTTCCACCTCTCACTGTGAGTACAAAATAAGCAGCAGCATGCACTACAATTCATC